GGGGGGGGGGGGGGGGAGAGAGAGAGAGAGAGAGAGAGAGAGCGCGAGCCAGCTCAGCCTTTTGGCTGGAGGGGAGCCTTCCTGCCATCTGATGCTCAGCGTGTTCCTCGGGCTAGTTTGGGGCTCAGCATGAGGCAGGAACCAGGCATTGTCCTTGACTGCTGCATGAACAGGCTGAGGGTGACTTGCGTTTGTTTGGGGCCAGCAGTCTGTGAACATAGCCATGGTGGCTTGTTCACCCAGGATTTTCAAGTTTAGCATGCTGTGTGAGTCTGTCTGGGTTATTCACTCTAAATCTGGGCTAACAGAGCGCCAGGGCAGGCATCTCTTCAAACAAGACTCCCACACGAGAAAGCATACGGCGTGCTGAGGCGAGGGCCTATTTGCACAGTACCCAAAGGGGATGCCTGCGTTCGCCAGCCATGTAACCTGCCCAGCCCCCTTTTAGCCTGGGCGTCCCTGGGGGACAACCCCATCAGTGTCTCTATTTGAGCCCTTGTGTCTGCTTTCGTGTCCTATTCCCAAATTCTGCCTGTTGGCAGAATGTGATTTGGTTTCCATCTCTTCTCCAGCCATCCCCCGGATCCTGCTTCTTGGGGGGCTCTGCAGGAGCACCCCTGCTTTGCTGAGCACTGTTTCTCTGCTTTGCCAGGGCCAGCGCCCCTCCCACTAGGCACGCTGAGTGGCGGGAGCTGTGACTTTGCCTCTCAGCATCTTTCACAAAGGGAAGGGGGGTGCTGCCGGTCGGATGTTGAGACAGAGGATGTCTACATGCACTTCCTTCATGAGCTCATCCGTACCTCAGGGCCCCGACAGCTTTGGTCACAGTTTCTGCCAAATGCCCGGGACCAGCCCCTTCGCCTGGCCAGGCAGAATCCTGGGAAAAGCTGGGACGGCCGGAGGATCCGGCTGCCAAGGTGGGGTTCACAGTCCGGCATGCGGCCTGGGAGAAGTTCTCGGGGAGGGGGAATAGGAACCCCGCCCACTGGATCACTAGCGGCCGGGTCCCCAATGCTCCAACGGGAGATGCAGCCTCGTTCCCCCCAAGGCCTCGGGTGAGTATGCAGGCTCTTGTCGGAAAAAAGGGGAAGAGATCCATGGGAACTAAGCGGCCACTAGGCTCTGAGTCAGGCCAGTGGCTTTGACACATGAGTGTTCATAGGGAATTCCCCCCACCCTCACCCGAGAGCGGTGGACTCCCCTTCTTCTGGGGGCAGGAGAGGACGGGCCTGCTCAAGCTTGCAGTCGCTGGGCCTCTGCAGCTGGGAACAGTCTGGACTGCCCGGTGACCTGAGTTGGCCTGAGGCCTCCAGGTGGATGTAACTGGACCAACCAGAGTGCCGCTGTGGGTGCTCTCACAAAATGTCTGCAGGGGGGCTGCCTGTTCATACAGCTGCGGTTAGGGGGGCCCTTCTCCCTCTGGCTCCCCTCACAGGACATTCCCGCCTAACCTCTTTTAGACTTGTATTTTTTACTTGCAAAAAGAAAATGCAGGAAGGAAAGGAAAGGAAGAACGTACGTGAACGTTCCCCGTGCAGAGGTGACACAAATAGCCCTCAGGTGTAGGTTCATATTATATCATACAATTACTATTTTACATTTAAATCAACGTACCTAACTTTAAAAGAAGAAGTAATAGAAGATTCAACGTATAAAGCAGCATGCTTTCGTTTTTTTGTGGCGCCTTTAAGTCAGACTTGACCTGGGCACTCCATGGAGTTTTTGCGGCAACCTTTCTGGAAGGGCCGGCCCCGGCCTTCTCCTTCCCAGGGCCGAGCGCGCGCGGCCGGCCCAAGCCCACCCAGCTGGCTCCTGTGCCTAAGTCGGGACTTGAACTCACAGCCTCCCCACTCCTAATTTTGCACCTTCATCACTAGGCCAACCCGGCTGTCATAAAGCAGCACAAGGAGCCCTAATTTGGCTTCCAGAAGGCTGACAGGCCAAACTTGGATTGCCTGGATCAGTCTGGGCAGAGGGGCCATCTTGCTAGTCCGGGCCTAAACAGCCCTCCAGCCGAGGCTCCCGGCTGCTGAAGGCTTCTGTGCCTGTGGAAACCGGTAAGTCTAACCCATGAAGAATGAGCCTCCTTTAATAGCAACCTTCTTGCAACTGCAGGAGCGTGCAGTACCCATTTCCTTTATCCCTTTGTTAGTTTCCACACCACTGGCGCTTAGTTCAAAAGAATGTGAACACCTGCAAAAGCCAATGAATCTTCCAAAACAAAATCTGAAAGAACGGCAAGCTGAAAGAGAGCCCTACAGCACAAGGAACCCGTGGCCCTTGGTTTGCAATATGTCAGCTCCCCCTTCCTTTAATTAAAATTTTCTTTTAAAAATGTAACAAGTTACACATAGCAGGGAGCCTGGAGCCTCCTGGGTGCCGCTCTGGGGACTCAAACATAGAAACTTGGATGATCGATGTCTTTTTAAGGTGCTACACAAAATCAGGGACCTTGCCATGTTCAGCAAGTTGCAGGGTGAGGATGTTGGAGGACAGCTCCTTTTCAAAAGGTAGAAAGCAGCAGGAGGTAGTTCATTGGACGTTATTTATTTTATTAGTTGAACTTACGTGCCACCCATCTCACTATACAAGTGACTCTCAGTGGCTTACAAGTAAAGAAGTTACTGAAGTTAGTCTTTGCTGGATTCATAGAAAATGCTAAAACAAATCAACCCTGTGTTGGCTCAGGGCGTCGGCTTTGTTCACACAGAGCGTGAGCCACGGCTGGTTCCCAGAGTGTTTCACCTAGTCTGTTGTGTGTGCATGTGCGTGTACACACCCACGGCTCCTGGGGCACGGTGATTGAAGCAGCAGCAGCAGCAGCAGCAGCAGCCGGCAGCCTCCCTCCTGACCAGGCCCGCAGAGGGAGGAAGGGGCTGAAGTGGGGGGAGCTGGGCTCGGTGGAGGGTCTCTGCCGACTCGGCTGCTCGGGCCTGTTCTTTGGGAAGGGTGGCCTCCAGAGGCAGAGGGCAGGCGGGTGATGCGGGGCGCATGGGCTTCTCGTCATCCCCAGCCAGCATGGCCCCAGGCACCCAGGGCCGCAGAGGGTCTTGGGGTGACTGTGGTGCAGAACCGCCACTGAGTGAGGAGCCGCAAGGAAGAGTCACGGCGGCCAGCTGCCGCAGCAAGGGAGATTGCTACTGTGGCGCAAAGCGGACTTCCCCAACAGCAGGAGAAATGTTTATTTAGCGCACGCCTCTCTCTTAAGCGCAGGACAGGCAACGCAACAGACGCTATATCAACACAGTGAAAGGCAACATCAGCAATAATACAATGATCAATATATCTCCTAACGCCAGGACAACCATAAGATAAATATATATCAAACAATGACAAAAAAAGTTCTGGCTTTAGAAGGATCCTGTGAAAAGCAGCCTTTTAAGGGCCTTTCGGGAGTTTTTCCTTGTTTTATTACATTGCTATAAGTAATACATTGTATTATTTTGATACAGGGGTTGACTAGAGACTGTTAATGCTTTTATGTTTAAATAACTTAAAGCTTTCAAGATAGAGAAAAAAAAGAGGTTTATACCAGCGTTAAGCATGACTTGAAATGTCAACATTAATAAGCATAAGACTGTTTAATTTTTGCATCCAAAGCTAAACATAGCATTAATTAACAACTGCAAGTTAATGTATTGTCGAAGGCTTTCACACCCTAACCCTAAACAAAACTTCAAGAACACGGCCA